TCTGGGACGACCATGATATCATCGACGGCTTCGGCTCGTACACCGACCATTTCATGCGCTGCTCCGTCTTTCGAGGCATTGGCGGCGTTGCCTTCAAGTATTACTGCCTCTTCCAGCATCACATCGCTCCACCAAAGTCGACCTACACTACCGATGCCCCGCAGACTATGCACGCCGTCAACGGCACCGCCGGCGCGGATCCACGACAGCTTGAGAACACTTTTGTTCTGGACGAACAGCAGGAAGATGACAGCTGGATTATCGGTAAACGTCCAGGACCTTACGTGGAGGAAAGGAGCAGGAACCTGTACATGCGCCTCGGGAAGCGGATTGCCTTCATTGGCGTTGATGCGCGCACCGAGCGCACTCGTCACCAGGTGAACTACCCAGACACGTACGATCTTATTTTCTCTCGGCTTCAGAGCGAAGTGGCAGCAGCAAATGGAGACATCAAACACCTGGTCGTGCTTCTGGGTGTCCCGATTGCTTATCCCCGTCTTGCATGGCTGGAGAACATCCTGAGTTCGCCCATCATTGCCCCGATTCGTCTGCTGAACAAGCGGTTTGGTTTCGCAGGAGGTCTGTTCAATCAGTTCGATGGCCAGGTGGATCTGTTGGACGACCTAGACGATCATTACACGGCCCGGCAGCACAAGAAAGAACGACGCATCTTCATTCAGCGCCTACAGGACTTTGCCAAGGCCCATTCAGTACGGGTGACAATTCTGGGTGGTGATGTGCATTTGGCGGCCATCGGAAGGTTCTATTCGAACCCCAGTCTTCGCATTCACAGTGAACACGACCCGCGGTACATGGTCAATGTCATTAGCAGTGCGATCACCAATAAGCCTCCGCCCAAGGCCGTCGCAAATCTCCTCGCGCGGCGAAACAAACTTCATCACATGGATTCGCACACTGATGAAACGCTAATGGACTTCTTTGACCGCCAGCCCGGTGGGCAAGAGAAGAGCGCCTCCTGGAATAAAGTAACGATGCCATCGCGAAACTATGCCTGTATCACCGAGATTGAGACGCCCGAGTCTAATGGCAATGCCGCAACGGCTCAGGACGACATTACCTCGTTCCCCATTGCCATGGACGGACACTCTCCCCTCCACAAGGGCGAGAAAAATGCCGGCTCGACTCACCCTGCCGCCGATGGGTTCAGTAGCAGCAGCGACATGTGGGGAGGTCTGGACGTGACCATCCGGGTGGAAATCAACCCCCAAGATCGGGACGCAGCAACTGAAGGCTATGCATTCAGCAGTAGGTTCCATGTATGCCGTTTTTCTGGCGTTCGTTCACTGACTCGCGGCGCAGTTCCCACGTTGGCTTATGTGCCATCCGAAGCTGACTCTCGGCCCACTTCCCGCGCTCGTTCCCTGCGCCCTCGATCCCTTCGTCCTCCATCTCGCCAGTCAGGGCACCGTCCCCAAAGTGCAGTCTAATTCTAATGGTTGACAGACCACTGATTGAGACAGCTGTCTATACCTATGCCGCCCGTTTGGTGCATGAACTTTAGGTGAGGTTCAGTCCGCGTTAGTAGTTGTGCTTCGATTGCAGTACCATGTTGTGTTCATGTAGGATATATCCATTTGCGTGTCATATATTTTCTATTGTTTGAATACGTAATGCAATTATCCCATTCTTTCTTCTGAATGCTTCACTTTTTTCCTGTCTCTTCAAGCCGTCAAGCAACGTCTACGATTGGTACTTGTCAGGCTTTATCGTTGGCTTTTCACCTTAGCATATTGCTTAGTGTTCTCACCGATCTCATGTACAATGCTACAGGATATGGCCAAGCACTCACGCTGCGGATAGCACCGTCATATTCAGGCTGGGAAATCGACATGTTTGGAATCGCATGCTTCCTTCCTGGCGTATCAGGTCCGGGAATGTGTTGAACAAAAGCGGGTAATTCAATGATTCTGTATCTTCAGGATTACAGTTGAACGGCTACACGTGTTCCTCATGATAGAGTATATTTGGAATTGGTGGCGCCACTGAGAGTGATTGCGGACTCTGTCTCCATTTGTGCGACTTGTCAGATCGGTCCAAGTCCACACATCTGGGCCATTTCCACTAACCTGCCAGGATCTATGTCTGCTGCCTTCTATATATTGCATCCACATGCAATGAAGGCCTGATTCTGCATCGGTTGACCTATTCAGACTGGTGTTCAATGATCTTTTGATATGCTTGCTCCGAGGCAGCGCACCAAGCTGACGCATGTCTCGGTCGCTATGCAAGGGCGCTCAGCCAGAGTGCCGAAACACGATTACCGCCTCCCACCGATAACTTACCAATCTCAACAAGATGTGCGTTTATGGCCTGTTGTGTTACCTAAGACAAGGCCACCTCCTATTCAAGCCTGCAAGGGCGTGTGACCGATTCCGGGCTGCTAGATAGCCCAGGGGCAGCGGGCACAATCTTTCATGTATATCCCACAAACGCTTGCCACTGGGTTTAGCTCTGTCATTGATCTAACCGCCTGGGTTAATTCTTGTGATGGATGCGACCAAAGATGACGAGCTGGTGGGGCCTAGCAGCCCTGCCCAGGAAAAAGTCGCACAAACATCAGAACTGGGAGACAAACACGAGCAGGACAGGCTCGAAGGCTCGAGGTACAAGCCGCAATTGCGTCGTAACCGCTCGGTCTTCACTCTACTCTTCCAGACATTAGCCATTGCCGCGATCCCCTTTGGAGAAGGAGGGCCTCTCCTCGACGCCATCTATGGCGGCGGCCCATTGTCCATCTTCGTCGGCTGGATCGTCGTTTGCCTCTTATGCGAGTGTATCGCCCTCTCACTTGCTGAACTCGCGTCTCGATATCCCACCTCAGCTGGGCCGTATTACTGGTCGTACAGGGTTGCAGGGAGCTCTAAAGCAGCTGTATCCTTCGTTACCTGTTGGGTTTGGCTGGTTGGCAATTGGACCATCACTCTATCGGTCAACTTCGGGTTTGCATCCATAGCCGCGGCCTCGATCTCAATGTTCCGTCCAGGATGGACGATCACTAGCTGGCAACTTTTGCTGATCTTATACGCTGTCTTATTGGGAGCATTCATCATCTGTACATTCGGTAACCGGTATCTACCTCAGGTGGACATGATCTGCGCACTCTGGACGGTGCTTACAATTCTTGTCATCCTTATTGCGCTCTCTCTGAAGGCGGGTGCCGGCAGGCATAGTGCTGCCTATGCATTAAGTCACTACGACTCCAGCTTGTCGGGATGGTCGGGCTTCTCCTTCTTCATTGGACTTCTCGCGCCCGCCTACACGTTCTGTGCCATCGGCATGGTTGCATCCATGGCAGAAGAATGCAACAAGCCAGCCGTGGAAGTACCATGGGCCCTCAGTCTCTGTGTCCCCGTAGGGTGCATAACAGGTCTATTCTTCATCCTCCCCATCTGCTTCACCATTCCCCCTTTGGAAGATGTCATCAATGCCCCTGTTGGCCAAGTCCTGCCATATATTTTCCATGTAGTCATGGACAGTCCCGGCGGCGGCCTTGCTCTCACTGTGCTTGTTTTGATCGTCAATTTCTGCGCTAGCCTCAGCATTACCGTCTGCGCTTCACGAGCCAGTTGGGCGATCGCTCGAGATGACGCTATCCCTCTCTCGCGATTATGGGCGCGCGTACACCCGGACCTTGGCGTACCTGTCTGGTCCTTGACCTTCGGCACCGTCATTCAGATGCTTCTAGGGCTCATTAATCTCGGTAGCAGCGAGGCCTTCACTGCCTTTGTCTCCGCGGGTGTCATCGCTCTCGCAGTCTCGTACGCTATCCCCATTGCACTGAGCCTTCTGAACGGTCGTCGCGAGGTGTCCCAAGCTCCATGGACCTGCGGTCCCATCTTCGGGCCAATCGTCAATATCATCGCTTTATGTTGGATTGCCTTCGAGCTGGTTCTCTTCAGTATGCCAACCTCGCTGCCTGTCACTCGTGTTTCCATGAATTACGGCTCTGTTGTCGTCGTAGGATTCATGGCCATCTCGGCATTCTGGTACGCCGTGCATGCGCGGAAATGTACGTCTCCTCCAATCATATCACAAAGTTCATTACATAGTATCTAACCATATCATAGCTTTCAAGGGACCGCTGTCATCGGTTGAGATGATATGACTTTACAGCCCATTTGTCTAGTCAGTCACAAAACTTTTACGATCTCGATATGTCTAACGGTGGTCACTTTATTTGCTCTGCCTTATTCCTTACCAACGCACATCTGATGCTCCGAGTATACCTGATTGCTCCGCAAACCTTATGCTTGTTCCATATGTCAATATGCAAATCCGTACGTAAGGTGAACTGTACCAAATCGAACTATACAGTTATGGTATTCAGTGTAAATCCAGTCGCCCGATCGGGCCGAATGAAACTGGAAGAACCATCTTGCGAGAAACCGCAACATCAAAGAGGGCCGTTATAGACGGCGCATAGGTATTCGGGGGATGTGGATAGTAAGTATCATCAGTTTGCAAAGCTAATGTCATAGTAATGTTCGGAACTACTCGAGGTAACATTAGCTCCAGCCTCGGCAAAGTAGATCATCATTATCTACTGGGTACACTTCCACACATATATATATATATATATCCGCAGCCGATACGGACACCCACCCCATTGAAGGGAGGCCCACGGGATAGTAGTAGTTGAACTGCACTGCATGACGGGTATTTCAGTCTTGACTACTATGAAAGTGTAGCTTGTCTATTATATCCTTCAGAATTCGAAAGTACGTCCCAAACAAGATTCTTTTGTCCTATATTACGGTAAAGGAAAGGTCATGCAGTCAGTTTACGGATACTCTCACTCTTACAGGTACCGTTTACAGCTAATTTACAGTAGCAACGCTATGTATCTCCTTAGTACTGTATCTTACGATACATCGCATTATATATATATATTCCATAATAAAAGTAAGTAGTAGGTGATGACCAGAGCAAAACGTGCGTAAGTTGCCGCACAAGCATCAGAGATTGGTATGTACCAAACCCTAATAGTTTGAATCATCCTGGCAGTCCAGACTTCCAGAGAAATTCAGCATATCTCTACCATAATCAATGCTATAGCCTCTACGGCGACGCGGGAGTCCTTCATTGGGCATGCGACGCGGCGTTGATGGGGCGTTTTCGGATGGTTGTCGTCGACGCACGACCTGGTAGCCCTTGTCGATCTCGATTTCGATGACGCAACGGACTTTTAATGCGCTGACGGCGGGCCAGACGCCTCGCTCTCCTTTGAGAGACCAGTAAGCTAGACGGTCTTTGCTTGGGTTCTGGAAGAGCTTGGGGAGGTCCAGGAGGGAGACGTCGGGGACGAGGGTGATATGGGGGCCAGGGATGGTCTCCTCGATGAGGAGCCGTGCAAGAGTGGCTGGAAGGAGGCCCATGTAGTCTAGTTGTCCGAGGCGGTGGTGGAGCTCGGCCGTGAAGAGACGCATTAGAGCTTGGGTGATGCTCCATTGGTCGGTTGGGCGACGGTCCAGTAGGTTCGAGTCTGAGCGTAGGAAGGGGATTAGGTATGGTCGGGCCTGCGACACGATGAAATGGTTGACGTTGAATAGCTCGGCAATCCGGGCTAGCGGTGATTCTTCCTCTTTGTATTGACCTTGACGCCAGGATTGATAGAAGGTTGCATCCCGAGAATGCGGCCAAGGTACGATCGAGCCTGTTTCGTCTTTGCAGTATATTGTGACTGGCTGGTAGAGTGAGTTGTTGGATGCGTTGGAGGCTACAGCGGCGGACCAGATCAACTGTGAGAGGAATTAGACCATAGACCGTTCAGTGTTGATAGGGGCAGAGAGAGCGTATGTGTTTTCGCCACGTACCACATTCGGTGCAGTCAAGTAGTTCAGCAAATTCGGGGTAGCGTTTTTATTTGATGTGGCAACCGTGATATTGAGTATGCGCTTGGACCGGGCATATGCTTCTTCGAAAGTGAGATCACCGAGATTGGCGCGCACGCATTCTTCCAGCACCTCCGCATCAAGGAAGTAGCCTTTCTGGATGAATCGATTAACTCGCCGCAAGAGTGTCCCCAGCCAACTGTCTCCGAGATTAGTGGGCAACCACCAACTCTCTTCTTCTGGCCGCTTCACCCGCCGCCTACGATCGAAGGCGCTCAGATCGATGGCACCGCTGTCCAGGAAGGTGAGCAGCTCATCTTCGCTATGGATACCCACCAATGCTGCAATGAGCGCCCCCATCCCTGTCCCGGTGATGATCCTTGGCAGGAGGCCACGCAAATGGAGAGCCTTCACCACACCGAGGTGACAGAGCCCGAACATGGAACCGCCCTGTAATAGCAGGGTCGTTCTCCCAAATGCCTGCCGAGTATCGTGCAGAAGCTCAAGCTTTGCCTGCGACGAGAATCCGCTGTCGTGGATCGGAGCCGTCTGTAGAGCGGTGACCTGTTGAATCGAAAGCGCGACTTGTGTGATATAGTCATCTATGAGAAGCTTGGTGCCGGCGTAGGCATGCAGAAACATCTTAGGTGAGGTGATGTTGCCCAGATTACGGAGTAACCCGGAGCGAAGCAGGTTCGCAAGGGTCAGGATATCCTCATCCTCGCGAGCGCTCATAAGAGCCTCCAGCCGACCCAGTATCAGTCGGTAGTCATAATGCCGGCTTGTAGGATTCTGACGCCTAGGCAGGAGAGTCAGGAAAGGACAGGGATTGGAGATGCTTTACACGCCGGAGTCGTATTCGGCAGAAAGGGAGAGTCTGCTCACCAGAGATCCATGCTGAGGAGCTCATCAAGCTCGAAAGCAGCCTCTTCCCATTCCTCAAAGGTGGATGCTGTCCTCAGGACATGTTGCAGTCGCTTCCGGGGAGACTTGGATCTCCACCAGGACAGTAATCGCTTAAGATGGAGATCTGCGTTAGCTACCTGCCCAGCACCAGTCGAACTAGCTTGTAGCATTCATTCACATCCACGGCAGGGCGGGACTGCAGGGGACAACGTACTTCTTTCCAGAAGAAGGCGACGTCGAGTATCATATTTAGGACAGCGAAGAATATTCGGCAGATGGTCGTCCAGGACCCCATTGCGACTGGAAAGAAATAACCGGGCCTTTTCCTTTTTTTTTTTTTTTTTTACTCGGCGGGGAATCAAGAACAGCGTTGGCACATGGCGGGGGGAAGCGACATTCACATGCTTGACGCGGTCAGCAGGGTCTGGACAAGCAGGGAAAGCTACCAAGCATGTGGAGGGGAGAGAATAGTGTCATATAAATAAGAAGCCTGGAATGACAAGCGACTGATGCGCATGAAATCAGAAAACCTCATGGGTATACGACGAGGGGGGAAGGTAGGCTGGTAGACAATGAAGAGGAAGAGGAAAGAGGAAGACGATGATGACATACACAAGATGGGGGAAGGGCCTCCCCGCAAACCATTGGAAGATGCATGGAATCACTCCCATGATCTAGTTATACTATTATGATCATCAAACTTACCTCGACTAATTCCGATCACTCTACTACGCAGCAAATCCATGGCAGGGGAATCCGTCTAAAAAGTCGATAAGGAACAGAAAAGAGGATATTTGGATTGCTCAGTAAAAGCCGACCGGTAATTTTTGTCTACACACCACGCACACACTTCTCTTTCTCTCTCCCAACGGAGGTACAAGGAGTCATCCCGATCCGTAAACACGTCAAGGGGGGGCATTTGAATTCCATGATTTTGGTTTTAAATTCCGCGTTGCTTCCCTATGCAAGTAGGCGAAAAAAAGAGATTCTCCAGACATCCGTCACTACCCACCGAGGCGGACAACCACCGTTTACTCCTCGACAATGTTACCCCGCTCCGACACGTACAGACCGTCAAGGAACTGTGCAAGATCATCATGTCAGTCATCAAACGAGATAACCAAAAAGGTATCTGGTGGGTATTCTTCTTACCTTACGGATATCCTTGTTGCGGACACGGCAGATCTGCTGGATGTCGGCAGCACTCTGGGAGACACCCTCCAGGGAGTTACCGGAGATCTGGAGCTCATCCTTAACGTTGGGGGAGGTGATGACCTCAACGCCAGGCTGGGCGGTCACACGGCGGACGTACTTCTCACCCAAGAAGTTTCTGTCAAACGCAATACCCATCAGCAAAATGTTCTTTCCTCCAAAAACACGACAATTGACCCAAGCACTGGTAGGAAGAAGCCGGAACCCGAACGGGAAAAGACTAAGAAAAATCCTTTGGTCGGATCCCGGCTCATCCCCCAGTCTTCGATATGCGTGCGAGTAGATTGAGTTCGGCATACCTGATCTCAACGTCGTGCAGGCCGGTCTCGGGGTTCTTCTCAATGTTGACGTTGATGGGAAAGTGAGCGTAGACGTAGCGCATCTTGTACTTGAAGCCCTTGGTGACACCGATGATCAGGTTGTTGATGAGGGTGCGGACGGTACGAAGGGAGGCCATTCCCTTGCGGACACCGTGGTGCATCTCAATGGAGATGACATTCTTCTCGGGGCGGCCGAAGGTGACGGCAATGTGGGAGAGGTCCTTGACGAGCTTGCCTGTAAGAGGGGAAAAAAGGACCCATGTCAGTGTCGCTGTATACAGACGGGTGCGGGACATGGCTCGAGCCGTAGGCCACAAAACGCCATGTAGAACAAATTGGTCGAAATTGTTCCAAAGAGCCGAGTCGTGGTGGATTGTTGGAGAATTTGCATACCTCGGGGTCCCTCAACGGTCACAATGCGCGAGCGAATGTGAACCTTCACTGTAGGAGGAAATTCGAATCAGTCCTATGTCCATTTCTATCATATCACGCAAAACTGAGATCGCAAGGAATCGATCGCGGGGACAGGCATTCAGTGTAGCATCTCTCTTTCTTTTCTTTTTCCTCTTCATTCCCCTAGCGATTGCCGGTTTGTAACTGGCGCAGCGCTATCCTCAACCTCCCTCCCAAATCCTCGATGCCATGCCTGTCCCTCCGTCCAGACCCTCCTCCGCGTTCACGCAGCGAACAGAGCGACAAAGATCGGGGGAATTAAATCGAAGCTCACCATTCTCGGGGATAGGCAGCCGTTCCTCGGAGTAAATGTACCGCATCTTGACTGCGTGGGCTGTGGTGTGTCCGCGAGGGAATTGTCGATATCGTCGAGCGGTCGGTCGTCAAAAGGATCGAAATTCGACAAGGCAAACCGCAGTCGAGGAGTGGTGGAGCGAAAATCACGGGTTGTGCGTCGCTTACGGCCCAATCCGGATTAGTCTTCTTGTCCGCCTAGGGCTGCCCGTTTTGGGTCTAGTCCCGACCCGTCTTTTGGTTCATGGTAATTTTTCACGGGCAGAAAAATAATAATTAGCCTAACGATTATAATAATGAATGTCAATAATCATATAATGATTAATTATACCCATCTCTCTCTTTTGTACTCCATGTTACCAATCACTTGTCCTCTGTGTCCTGCCAAATGAGGAATTGTTCCTTTGCTTAATGCGTGGGCCCCCACGCATTACGGGCAGCTGGCAAATGCAATGTTCTCATTTCTCAAGGCTCTTAGACTCCGTACTACACAAGCCAGTTATCAGAAGTCTTTCTTGCATAAAAGATCGTGGTGTCAATTATTACTAGTATACTTCGTATGAAAAGATCGTCTGTTTACCCACCCCTACTATGTACTTAGAATACATAAAACCCTTCACCCACTAGGGGAAATACCTCATCATATTATGTTGTACCAACCCGTGGTGCTTGGAGACCATCCAGCCAGCCCATTTGGATGCCAAATGGAGACCATGGTTTCAGTGCCTGGCCTGCTGGTTCAAAAACAGAAACCCCATTGCTTCTGTCAATCCGGCCATACTAGGCATTCATCTCTTTGCTGCCTTCCTAGTGGCTTCATTCTTTACGATGGACCTCCTGGACCCACTTACCCCCCAAGCTTCTCAATGTTGAAGCCAATTCGTCCTTTTGATCCAGAGCCGTCACATCATCCCCTCCTCCAATGCTTTTCCCGTTGACCAACACGTTCGGGACAGTGCGACGCCCGGTATTTTCTCCCAGCAACGCCTGCAGCGGTCGACCCAACTCATGCTTATCAAGCTCCACCACAAAAGGTGCAGGAACAATCGAGTATTTGTCCAAGAGGATAGACTTCGCCTTGGCGCTATACGGACAGTAGGACTTGGAAAATACAATGACTGGAGACAGCAGCACACAGGGTTAGCAAATGTTTCCAAACACCAAAAGGAAGGTCTCCCGTAGTAGGAAAGAAAACAGGAAGACTGCGTACTTGGTGCCCGCTTCAATATCCCGTTCAGCTCGGCCACGGCGGCCGCATGATCATCTGTCTCCGGTTTCTGTTCTTGCGGCTGTTCCGACGTCTCTTTCTCCGGGTCATTTCGGTTCTTAGGTACTGTCATCTTGGTTCTGCCTGCAATTGGGATCTCTTCTACTTCGTCCGCATCGTTGTTGGCCTTGGGGATGGCCGGTTTTTCCTTATCGTTGTTAATGGCAGGCTTCGTCTCTTCCTTGATAGGGTTCTGTTTGGGCTGGTCCTTCTGTGGCGGTATGTTGGCTGCTGTTCCGGCTTCCTTTGCCTGCTTTTGAGCCTCCATCGCCGCCACGGTTGATCGGTAGAATTGTTGGTTCTGAACACTCCGGGCTTCACTCTATTATGGAATTCATGCATCGCATTAGCCATTGTAACGTTGAACCTCCGTATGGTCACGAGGTCATGGAGTATATTACCGAATAGTACAAAGTCATGATGATTATGACCACGACGGCGATGGCCAGAAGCCGAATGCGCCGCTGCGAAAGCATCTTGACAAAGGTGTAACACCACGTCCAAACAGGAACAAGGCAGGAAGGAAAAGAGAGAAGGGGGTGATTCGGCGAGAAATGTAGAACTCACTCCCTCTTATTCTCTCTCACGGTGCCGATACTGAGTAATTGCTATACGTCACAAGGATTCCGAGCCAGTGGCAGCTATGCGCATGCGTTCGCGTGGTTTAAGAGTAGGCTGGTTGAGCCGACAGGTCATAGGCGCAGCTCCAATTTCAAGAATAGCTGGACATTGGGCGAGCAGACAACCACGAAGCCTCTGCAAAGCTCGAGGTTAGGTATCAGATAAAGATAATAAATATGAGAATGACACCTTCAGAAATAATAATAGTACAATAGATTAGACCCCCAGGATAAGCATGGAGGGGAAGTAGATGACTGATGGGGGGAAACTTTGGGGGAGGTTTACTTTACGGGGGGAGAAACAAGGTAAGGATTCCGATTCATGAGGAGAGCAAGTGGGGCAAAAACAGCTAGTCGGGGTTGGCCCGCCCTTCATTTAGTTAACTGTAACTATTACCACTAGTAGTCCTGTCAACATCTACAACATAGCACAACAATCTATAGCCTAACTACTGACTCCTAGACAGATTCGCTAATTTACTCGTTCCCATCTCTTGCACTGACACAAACATTGATTATGCATTATATTAGCAGGTATCTCTATGTATGCTATGATTCGGGGTATGGAGCTAATAAAGGGATGGTATCATGATTAAAAGCACGAAAAAGCAAGGGGAAAAGACAACGACAAGGACATCAAGTCTTACTAGTGACACGCACTAGATAGACACACATGTGGAGGAACAACAGCCGCAGCAAAGCACCGCAGAACCTGCAACGGTTAGGGTTGACCCATTCTAGACTCCATCCAGTAAACGGGGGTCTTCACCGGCTTTCTCTTCTTCCTCCTTATACGAGCAACAAATTGCATGCACCGCATGACCGTCATCACGCTTGAACTGCAATGCCTGAACGTGTTCCGACGGTAGCTCTGCGCTTGCCCTGGACCACGATCATCCAATCTTCCCATTCCTTGGCAATCTCCATGAGCACATTGCCCATCACTGCCGCCGAGGCCATCAGCCCATGACCCTCTCCTTCTAGCACGCGAACCTCACATCGTCGCATCATTTGCCCCAGCCATCGGACATTGTCCACCGGGACACGGGTGTCCCGGCTGCCATGGTGGATGACAACGTTGCGGGTGATATCCACATATCGGAAGCCAATGGGCTGACGACGTTCCAAGCAGACCAGCAGATCTACCGCCGGGTTTGCGTTTGTAGTCGCTAGCTCCCAAATCTTATGCGTAAGTCGGTTATCGTAATCGGTCTGGCGTTCCCGTTCTTGCGACGTGGCAAGTAAGGCCTGACTTGCTGTGGGGTCGGCCCTCGGGTATCTCTCGGCAGCAGAGAAATCAGATGCTTTCAGTCCCTCAAGGGCCTCCAAATCTGCCCCTTGTTGGGAGATCTTGGATGGGAGCCGTTGCGTGCTCTTGGCTTCAGCGCCGGTGGCACTGGAGCTATCCTTGAGCAGCCCTTTCCGTTTAGCCCGGCGCGGAGACTTTGGGAGGCTAGAGGTCAGGCTTGCACTGGTTGCAGTCATGAAGCTTGAATTGGCCACCTTGAGAATGGACGTCGGTAGGGCTCGGAGAATTCGCTGGGAGTACGGGACGGCATTCGTGGGGACGGGAGCCTTTTGCGAGCCAATGCTAGACAGCTGAGAAGGTGGAATCCAGGGTGCTAACAGATGAATGCGGCCCCGGATATGCTGTGGGATCCGAAGCGCAGTAGCCAACGCATAAATAGCACCCGCAGAGTGCGCCATGATCGAAAACTTGGTAACTTTGAGGTGGTTGCACACAATGGCGACATCATCTGGGATACAATCATCAGTAAGGACAAGGCAACAACCAAACCGGAAGATACTCACCAGGCCAACTGAGGGGAGTTCCCACCTCGTCGACGTAGGGGCCGCTTTCTCCCACGCCGGGACGATCCAATGTAATGAGCCGCAGGCGCAGTGATCGTGCCAGCTCATCGTAGAACGCCATCAGATATCTGGTGAGGCCCATTCCAAGACAGCAAAGCACCACATATCCCTTAGGATCTCCAACCTCGGAGAACGCTATGGTACGGCCTGATGTAGGATGTGACACCTTCTGGGTAAGTTTCGGGGAAGATATGTAGTCGTAGACCGCAAGATCAATGGAATCGGCACTTGTGGGGCGTTCCTCCCCACTCGAGACACCAACGGGAGTAGCAGAACCGGATGGGGAGCGCTTATGGGTAAAGGCTGAGGTCGACTGTTCCAAAGGACCATGGTAACGAGCAAGCTGGTCAAATCTCTCCAGAGACGGTGGCGGGCTACTGAGTGACCTCGAGGCCAGCGAAGAGCGGCTCTTGCCCGTCATGACTGCTGGGGCCGGCGCACTCTCGTCGAAGCCACCATTTGCTTGGCGGACGATCTGCCTATGCTCCATCGTTCCGCTGCTGGCACTGGCATTCTGCATCTCCCGGGCAGATGCGACGGCGGGGGCAGGCTTAGAAGGCTTCTCCGGGGTATCATCTATTTCTAGTTCGCTCTTGATCTTCTGTTGCTGGTCTTTCAATTCTTGTATTCGCTTCGTTACCTGTTCGGCTTCATTGCCCACGCCCGATACCGCACTGTCCACTTTCATCTCTCTGCTACTGGTTGAAGAGTACCGGCTATGGCGGGTGGATCTGCGATGCTTTGGGCTGGAAGAAAAGCTATGGCGCAACGAAGACTCGCGAGCAGGAATAACACGTCCGCTACCAATACCGCCTGGTGTACTCGGCGCACTATCGCGAGCGCTTTGCAACGAATGGCGTTCCTTACTGGAGGGCCTGCTGAATGTCGGTTCCCTGCTGGGCTCGGTGGCTGCACGCACTGGGCGTGTCTCCTCCACGACGTCAGCCATAGAACACAACGAACGTATACTAGCACGACTGCGCGGTATATTATGTCTCAGGCCGTCGTTGTAGCTACACGTTTTGCGTAGCCGTTCGGTTTTCCTGTCCTTATCACTGCAAAACTCTCGAGATGGCCTCTTGAGGAGGCCAAACTGATTTCTCAGGCTCTTCCTAGAGCCCGAAGATGCCACACTATTTGCTGTAGACACTCGTGGGCCCGGTTCCGTGGTGATAGTACCAAACGCAGTATCTTCATACGCTGCCTTAGATGACGTGTATGAGCCCCTAGATGTCGGTCTTCCTGGAGACAAGGGCGGATCGAAAGTCGCTTTATGTTTGGGGGATGGAGGCGCCCGTGCCATGCGAATGATAGGAGGAGCCGCCGCATCATCTGGATGCAGAAAGGGAGTCTGCAATGCCTCCTCAGACGCCTGCCGCGTCCTGTTCCTCACTGAAGGATCATGCTCGCTGGGTTGCCGTTGGTCAAGACTGGGAGGTTGACCTGTGGGAATGTACACTGGCGCAGAAGGATTCGTCTCCGTATCAATGCGCGGGATGTTGTCGAAATGCGACTGGAGAGGCACCGAGATTGTTGAAAGCGAGGAAATCAGAGAGGAAATGACTTCAGGAGACGCCGGGTCAACCGCCGTTGCTGAAGGGTCACTAAGCTGCGTGCGCGAAGGGATGGACCTGTGATGCCGGGGAAGCAAAGGGGGGGAGTGAAAAGGGGCATCATCAGACTTTGACGCCAGAGGATCCTCGGCGCGATTCATGGTTGCCATTGACAAGGAATATGACGGTCTAGAAACGTTCCCCCGGGCCAGGATCAGGAGACAGTTACCGACGATATATGCGGTCGAGCGTAGTGCGCGCTTGCATGATCCAGTGAGAACGCAAGATAGCGTATGCAAGCTCGGTAGCTTAACGGCAAGAATCAATAGACTGCGGGCGCTTGGCGCATGTGCCACTTAGAATCCAGGCTGAAAGATCCAGGGCGGCCCTATGGAGCCCCTGCAGGTTGCAAAAGCAAGCCCCCTTGCCGAACGGTGATTGTCTAGAAGCAAGACCTTTAACGAGGAGGGTGGGAGAGGGAGGGGGGGGGGAAGTTTGTTGGAACTGCCGATCCGAGAGGGGGGGAGGAGGCGACTGGAAGATTGTTTTGGTTGGGAGTTAGTATAGCGCAATTGCGCGCGAAGAGTGAAAGAGAAAAAGATTGGTGGAAGGGAGCGGATAAGATAAATATTATTTGCATTAGATCATAAGAGGAAAAGGGGAAGAAGCTAAGTAAGTGGAGGGAAATGGACGGACGGAGGTACGATCGATAAAGGGAAATAAATGTACGGAGTACCAAAAAAGAAAAAGTATTTAGTTCAGAGAATGGAGGGGCAGAGGAAAGCCGAAGGATGGATGGATGGAAGGAAGGAAGGAAAGAAAGTGAAGATTGTAAGGAGACAAAAAAGAAAGAAAGGGAGAAAAAAAGAGAGAGAAGGAAATCAATTCAATTGATCCCCAAAGCCACAGATAGGAAAAGAAGCTGGCCATTAGATAGTAGGTAGGGTAGTAGTACTTCGTAGATGCTTACTGCAACCTCTCCCACCCTCTCTCATCCACAAGCAGAACACAGCTTCTCTTCTATGCCTATTACCCTCACCTGATGGATGCTTTTGCGAGACGGCACGCCAGGAACAAGGAGAGATTAATTAGTGGACTCCCAAAAGAATTTCGAGGAAGGTTTTCTGCCCTGTCATTTGTCTGTCCGAGTCCCCGCCCGTATTTAGTGTCCCTGCAGGGCCTCCACTCCTCGATTTCAATTGAACGCGCCATTTCATCCTCCGCACAGTTCGCAGATCCAAATTTCATGGGTGTGTGTATACAAAAGTATCTAGTCCAGCATTGGATAGATATGCCTGCTAGCTAGGGGGGCACATGACTGCCTCCTCAAGAATGAGATCAGCCTTTTGTTTCAGATTTCAACATGGTAATTCTGTTTACTAGTTAGTTGGGAGACATGAATGACCCTTGGATCTTTGCCAGCAGGAGATGAGGATGATGATCATGATCATGATCTTGATGACGATAAATGTCCCACCTTGCTCACTTATACTACTTAGTATTTGTGTAAATTAACTCATGGGTTAATTAGTAGTGGCTTGCTTTCGTGCTAGCTTCGTTTCTGTCCACGGAAGCGAATTGGCGAGGAGCTGGATGGACTCGATGGAGAGGCACCCCGTCGTCCAATTCCCCACCGGACCACACAGGCTGGCTGAGATCGAAATGAGGGTCGATGCTGGTTCTGGAGCCGGGACCTTGGAACGGAGATTTCCGTCCTCCTGAGTCCCTTGCCATCATTTGTGGCGTGTAGACTGCACAGACGATCATCCATCCGGTAACGATATGCAAGGTCGTTAGACCCCCCCCCCCTTCATGAGCTGGATCATGGACCTTGTGCATTCGGCC